TAGATAGATAGATAGATAGATAGATAGATAGATAGATAGATAGATAGATAGATAGATAGATAGATAGATAGATAGATAGATAGATAGATAGATAGAATTCCCCTTCTTACACCAACTCTATGGTTGGCTTTTTGAGTAAAGTGGAACTGGATAAAAAAGATGAAGTTAAAAAGCATGGATTACAGCATGTTTATTGACTTTCTGACCGAATGTTGAAATCTTGGACTCTACATGAAGTTTTGAAGTGAAGACAGACATCAGTCAAACCATCAAAAGTTCCACAATGACAAACATTTRCATAGACAAACTGTAGGACTCCTGGTTCAGGAACTTTTGACACAAAAGGTATTTGTTTATTCTTTGTTTAGATTACGTAAGTCCTACCTCAGAAAAAYAAAGACATTTTCCTCATGTTCTGTTTGCTTTTCAGCCCTGGTTCAGGGAGACACCTCAGAAGATGTCTATAATCAATGCAAGCAAGTCATCGAGGAAAATTCAGGACCGTWCATCTGGATCCCGTCAAAGGAGAAACTTTGATTCTTCATCCAGGAAGGGAATGTGGACTGCTAGGAACTAATAATTGACTGTAACACAAGTGTGTTTGGAATATTTCTTTATTTGCTTAGAATACAGGAGATTGCAAAAGTTTGGTATTCCATCTTTTTCCTGTTTGAAAGTAAACTTTTCATAGAACCAGCTTTTCAGTAGTACCTTCAGGTCTGTCTAACCTAAAGGTTGGAGGTTCTGTCCACTCTTTAAGTCCAAACTGCTCCAGCTGCTTCAGGTTTGGATGACTTCTGCTTGAATTCAGTCATAAAATCTAACATGATTCTTATTTGGACTGAGGTTCAGATTTTGAYTGGACCATTCCAGGACAGCCGGTGCTCTGTAAACCAGTGGAGTTCAGCAAATTGTTCAGAGTCATTGTCCTACTGGAGGGTCATCCTGTCCCATTCCCAGAATACTCTGAAATTCTCTGTATTTTGATCCAGCCACCTTCAAAGAAAAACTCTGATCAGTTTTCTAGTCCCTGCTGATTTAAAAAAAAACATTCCCAAGCATGATGGTGCCACCAAAATGCTTCATTGTAAGGTTAGTGTTTATTACAATTTATTATTATTTATTATGTAACTTCTAAAGGTATTGGTTGGGGATCCAAAGCACAAGCGGTGAATGCATGTGCATGTGTCATAATAGTTAT